GCGTGACAGTAACGGCATGATCCGCTACAGCGTGACAGTTACGGCATGATCCGCAACAGCGTGACAGTTACAGCATGATCTGCTACAGTGTGAGAATCGCGGAGTCCTCATGTGTTCGCCCAGAAAACTGCTACAAACACGTGATCACTTGTTTTTTTAGCTTGTTCCTTAAAGCTCACAAATTCGTCCGTCACGTCTGGCGGCTTGAGAACAGCAACAACATGCTGCATTTATAAGTTGCATACATATGCAGATAGACCTGTAGTGAGATACATACACAGTATATAAGGAATAAAGCTGTTGGCATGGCTGCTTAAACTGGTAACTGCTAGTAGGCATGGGTTTAATTGTTTAGCTGATCCTTTAAATGCAACTTATTGCTTCAACCACTATGCCACCTGCTGGTCATTGCAAACATGCCTAGTTTAGATAATTTAGTTAGGGATCCCAAACCATATTGCATGCATGGTGTTCACCATGCTAACTGCTGCATACTGGCATTGAACATCCTCATTTGTTTGTTTAAAGGCAGTTTTACACTAAGAAATGCTGCAAACTAACATCCTTACGGCAGCTGACACACCATCTACTTTGGAAAAGTTGGAGACAGGCGGTCGCTGTGGGCAAGACATAAAACACTCTTTAAAGTGCAGTTACTAACTCCATAAGAGACAAAAGAGGTGCATCTCAGAAGAATTTGGGGAAAAAACAAGCCTTCTCTGAGTGCGCTGGGGACCCCAGACTGAAAATCAATTACCTGTTTTGGCAGGGGAGAGGTTTGTTCATTTGATTCAGACCCCGGAGATGGAGAGCAGATGGGCTCAGGGAGTCCTTTACACTCCCCCTCTACTGTGGTGTCGGTTGTTTTTTTTGTTTTGTTTTAAGGTTTGGGGGTGTGCGTCTGATTTGTGTCCAATATAGATTTTTGGGGAGGGATACTGAGCTCGCCCTATCATGGTTTTCTTTCTTGAATGGCGTCCTGGCACTTTTCAAGCCAGTCGTTAATTAAACATAGCTCCTGTAAAACAAACGCAATGGAGAAGCATGGCAATAACTAATGCAAATATATCTGCAGAATGACACAGTCCCCAGGAGAGGAAAGCCCCCCCTCAGAAGAGCAAAATTATGCAGTCTTTGTTTCCTGTAAACAAATACAGGAATTCATGAAAACAAACACTGCAAACACCCCCCCAGATTCATCTGTATTCCGGCTGATGTCCCAGAAGCCCTCAGTCTCTGCCCTGACTAGGGCTCAGAGCTAATGAAGTGTCAGATCAATTATGCAGAAAGAAAAGCTCCTGCATCTACTCTAGGAAAGAAATATGAAAACAAGTTTGTCTGTCGGCCTCCACACCTTAACTGAGGCTCCATAGATCAAGGTGGACATTAACTGAATGGAAACACAATAACGATGTGAGTGTCCCGTCCAGATTGAATTCCCTGGGTATACATTATTAAATCGAGCGCTTATTCCACTACATTCTCTGATTAAATCAGACAGGAAAGCGGAGCAGTGCACAGTGACTGAATGGAAGAGACTGCAAGGCAAAGAGCCTGTGTTTAACAAGGATTTCTAACAATAAAGACTGATCATTTCCCACAGAGGAGTGTCTTTACCGTTAGCTTTAAACAAGAATGTAATTTAAGAGCCAGGGTTTGGTGATGAGTACATTTATTGACCTGTGAGAAGCAGACAGAGATCCTGTCCGGGTCCCGGCTGCAGTCTTTCCCCAGTGTCCCCCTGTTTTCCTCAGTATTTACTCTGTTCTGCAGCCAGAACGGCTGCCTGTCGTTCATGTCTGCCCCCTAGGTGACGTGGAGTCCACGTCTCACCCTCCCACCCACACCTCGGCCGTTTCTCCACTCCGGCAAAGCAGGATGTAATGACTTTGTAAATACAAAAATGCACTGAGGGGAGATTATCCACGCGTAATCCATAATAAGTCAAAAGATTCTGTCCTTAGTTCAAACTCAGAATTATTTATTATACTCATAACAAGCTTAAAAAAAAGAAAAAGCACCTAGTCTTTCCAACTCAGTTGCGTTGCGAACTTACGCTGCTTATGGTGCAAAACCACTGTACCTCCCAGGACTGCACGTGTTCCACCTGAGGGTCATTAATCTAAGACACAGTCCCTGAGTCGCCATTACGTTCCACATGGGGTGACGTGTCGCACCCTGCAGGCAAATCTATTGTACATTGTTTTGTAGCATCATTTTAGATTATTCTAATGTTAAATTAAAAAACCACAATGCAGAAAAACCCTCATCAGAAAAACAAACGGCAATAATCACCTGTGATACAAACACAGTTATCTTAGAGGATCGCGCAGCGTACCGGAGAGCGAAGTGCGTCTGAGTGCATAAAGAACATCCGGAGATTGACAGAGACCTTCCAGATGCCCTTGTTATAAGTGTCCATTACCCTGCAAAGGACTAATTAACTTCATTATACCTTAGAGAGTTTAAAAAGACACACGTGTAGACACAAAACTGTCAGCCTGTTGGGGGGGGGGGGGGGTTATGTCAAAGCCTGGTGCCAGCAAACTGTACCAGTGATAAATTTTTTATTATCTGTGGAAACCGATCAATTGCTTCATTTGTGGGCTGGATTTAACAATGGTTACAAACCACCGGTACTTTGAGACCCCTGGGGAAGGGCCATGATACGTCTGGAAAGTGTGTTAACTTGGCCACGTCAAAACCACTCCTAAAGTCACCCGAGACTTTACAGTTATTTAACTAATTAGGCTAACTGAATTAATTGAGATGGTGATGAAATAAAATGAACACAAGGAACGCCTGGGGTGCCCCTGAGGAGAGATTTGGGAACTGAAGTGGTGCTCATCTAGCTATCCAACAAGATATCAGTTTTTGGAGAATGGAGGAAATTCTTGTCACTTTATGGTGTTACTGTTCTGGAATATATATATATATATATATATATATATATATATATATATATATATATATATAT